CACACACACACATAGAGTCGTCGCAATATGCGTTTTTGCAGTTTGTTTTGGGGGAGGGGGGGGGGGCAATTGCCAACTCAGGAAAACTAGAAAGTTGAGATTTTATGAGAATACCCCCCGTCCAGATACAACTTAAAGGTTTGAAATTCAGCCTCCATGTATGCATGATTCTCGCGTGCGGCCGCTTAAATTTTTGGCGGGGAAATTACTCATTGAGCACCCGGGTCTTTTTCAAAAAACGGCCGCTAAATGGAAATTGTTTATTTCCGTTTATGCAAAATTACAATGATTTACGGTATTGAGTGCACAAGGAAGGTGTGAAGGAACAACCGTTCATGCAGTTAACCTAATTAGTTCAAGTCTGGTGCAAAAACGCATGAACGCTCCAGCTCACCTGGTGCGTTCCAGCGTGGTTGCTGGCTATAGTATTGCACAGCAAAAACGCATAAAAACGCATATTGCAATGACCCTGTTTGTGTTTGTATGTATGTATATGTTTGTGTGTTTTCGTCCGTCCGGGTATTTAAACTCGGCAACCAAGCAGCTCCAGTGCCAAAATTTGGCAGTATATCCCCGGCCAAGTGTCACCCCAGGACGGCGATACCAGCCCTCACGCGCGGTTGGATTTCGCATGCGAGCGCTTAAAAATTTTGACGGGACAGTTGCTAACTCGGGAACGAGGAAAGACAGAAAGGCGAAATTTTGAGGTTATGTTTCCTGCCCAAATATAACTCGACGATTTCAAATTCAGCACCCAGGTATGCCTAGTTCCCAAGTAGGGCCTCGTGAGGATTCCTGGCAGGAATATCGCTAACTTGGGAGCCAGAAAAGCTAGAAGGCTGAAATTTTAAGGAGATATTCTCAGCTCATGTGCAACTTAAAATATCAAATTCAGCCCACAGGTATGCGTGTTTCTCACGTATGGCCTCGTGAAATTTTTTTTGGAGGGAAATGGCTAACTGGGGGACCTGGGAAACTGGGAAACTGAAATTTTAAAGGGATGCTCCCAACTTACGTGCAACTTAAGGATTTCAAACTTAGGCCTCAGGTATCCCCCCAGGTCACATACAGTCCCGTGAAAGATTCGACGTAAGAAGTGTTAACTTGGGAACCAGAAAAAGTGGAGAGCTGAAATTTCAAGAAGGTGTTTCCCATCCAGTTACAACTTAAAGGTTTCAAGTTTAACCTTCAGGTACGCGTGTTTCTCGTGTGCGGGCAATTAAATTTTTTGGCGGGGAAATTGCTCATGGAACAGCTACGTCATTTTTAAAAAAAGACCGCTAACAGAAATTGTTTATTTCCGTTTATGCAAAATTTACGATGATTTACAGTATTGAGTGCACAAGTTAAGTGTAAAGCAACAAACATTTATGCAGTTAACCTAATTACTTCAACTTTGGTGCAAAAACGCGTGATTGCATCGGCGAGGTTGCTGCGTTCCAGCCGAAGTTTCCAAAAGCGAGCATTTACCGAAAAAACAGCCGGGTTTATGCAAAAAACTGATAATCATGTACCTGGAGGTCGATGCGACCCTGTGATGCAAAACCCTTCATCCCAACGGACGCTTTTTTCTCCTGTACGCTGGAAGAGGCCAAAGCACGGTTAGTATGAGCCCAACTGTTAGGCTAAAGCGCATAGATCATTCCTGCTATTAGCGATCTGCGAGTTTAGCGCAAAAACGCATGATCTTATCGGCAGGCCTGGTGCGTCCCAGCTTGGGTTTTTTCTGTTGAGCGTATTACAGTCGCATTCTTCATTGACTTATGTTTTAAGTCTTTTTGTGGCTAGGTTTTACAGTAATTTGCATTCACAGCCAGGAAACAACAGCACATGTCTGGTCCGTGCGGAGGCAAAAAATGTAATCAGAATTACAAAACTCCCGGTTGTCAGCAGTTGTTCTCAGGCCATTTACGCGCTTCTTTTGTCGAAATTTCCGGAGGAAGCAGACTGGAGATGGCGAATGTCCAAAAGATTTCCAGCACCCAGGAAAAGTGAAACTATTTGTGAAGGGTAGATTGTGTTGTGATGGTTTGCTTGCCATGCAAGGCCGTACGGCTCTGTCATTTCTCGCTCTTCTCTGATTGCAAATAAGAGAATTGACTGCAGATGACGCCACCACTGGAGAGGAGAGGGGATGGAGGAAACAAAGGTGTACGTAAACGCTGTCTTTGTGCACACAAAAGCTCGAAAAAACACATGGTTGCGCTAGTCTCTTTATGCCATTATTTAATACGACGAGGGTTTCATGAGTCTGAAGTTCTTTTCAGAACTGATTATTTATATTGACAATGTAACTTTCAATAGTACATGGTTCTGTACTTCTTTTAGCCACCATTTAGAAAAAATTTACATGTATATATATATATGCCACCTCTAAATAAAACTCAGCTGTCCGACTCAGGCGCCTCATCGTGGTGCGAGAGTGGTAAAAGAATAGGTAGAAACGGGGCATGACGAGGTACAACCCTGGCATTTACAGCTGCTACTCAGTGTGCTCGAAAGACGGCAAAAGACGGAACACGTGATAACATGGAGGGATGGAGAAACAGTTTTGTTGGGCACTGGTCAAGGGAAGAAAAACGTTGGCGGAGTTAGGTTTATTGTTAGCAGGTAGTAGTCTCCGCAAATCATCTGATGTCTGTTTTATTCATTACGGACCGGCGTACTCCTTGGCAAGATTCGAATAAAACCCACAGATTTTTCACGCCTATACTCCCGTCATGGCAGGTGATGACAGTAAGGTGAGGGAGTTCTGTGCTGAGCTGAAGTCCACATTAATTGTCAAGTCCTCATATAAAATTGTTATGAGGGGTTTTAATGCAAAGCTTGGACGAGGTGGAAAGGATGAAGAAAAGTATGTTAGCACTGGCAAGAGGAACGGCAGAGATAATAGGTTAGCCACAATGGCGGAAACGAACAGGCTGCTTGTTGGTAATACCTCATTCTGAAAAGGTGCCGATAAATTGGGATTACGCTAAACAAAAGAAATAAGAAAGCGACTGCACCTCGGTCAGTGCAAGGCAGATTTCCACAATCGTTTCCATAGTATCTTCTTTCGGTACAGTAAGCGACCGCCGCATGCTACAGACTAGAATACATATTGTCTCGGCTCGTGAAAAAAGGAAACTGCTTGCCCAGAGAAGACGATGCTGAGAAGATAAAGCGACAAGTCGAGAAGGCCGATTGGACCGTGATGGCAGATACTGACGAGGATTACAAATGCCTTGATGTTAAACTTCTTGAGTGTGGAGAATGAACGGAATGCGCTTGAAGTCTGCAGTCAAATTCGAGGATGTTCCGTGCAGCTGTAAATGCACTGTTAGAGGCGGGGAGAAACAGGAAAAGGGATGAAACTTAAACCGTGAAGTATTCCCTTTTCTGGAAACATATTAGGCGTAGGATGAAGGAGGATCTCGAAACCACAACCGTTGACGGAAGTTAGGGCGTCCAAAAAAAGCACAGCCTGAATAGATGTCGGAGAGAGCTATTGCTGTACGATCATGTAATGGTAGCGCTAAAGGAGGGAAATAGGCGTAGGATAAATGAGTCGAACAGATGTGGAGAATTAACACATCTTGGCCAGGGAAGTAAGTATGCGCCACAGTCTCTAGCCGGAGATTAGTAGGCGCAAATTTCACAACGTTGCCGATGTCCTTAAAGTGCGGAAACGAAGGGTTGTTGATGGCAATGACGTTTTGAATGCAAAAGGTGCCGAGGATCGAGCGCTGGCAGGAACGGACAGAGCGGTGGAGCGGCAGATGCTTGGCGTATCTTTTCGTGACCATATAAATAATCAGATTCTCAGACAGATGAGCGGCGTGCAGGATATCATGCGACCACGCGAGAAAGTAAAATTCAATGGACAAGGTCGTGTGATAGGTCCCTGCATGGTCTTTGACTACAGCAGCGGAAGACAGTGAAGAGTGTCGATGCTTTATTTACTAATAAAAGCTTCAACTCAACGGAACAAGCCGGGGCATCGCACAAACTAACGTTAGTCGTATTAAGGCGATCATTTGGTAGCGCTAGTCGTATCAAGGCGTGACGCATGTTGGGCCCAAGACTCCGATCCCTAGGGGTTTCGGGAGGAATCTATAAAAAGGTAAATTAATGGAGGGAAAAGAAAGGCAAAAGCAGTTAGTAGGTGGGGGAGGTAGGTAAAGTAAAATGTGAAATTACTTAGAATATAGTAGAAGTGTTTGGAATTAGTGGGTGGAGGGAAGTAGGTCAAATACGTAGACTACACATCTCGCTTGCCTTGCCGAAAATTGTTGGGCGACACACACTAGTGAACGGTGTCCACAAGAAAGTCGGTCGATTCGCAAAAAGGTGATGTACATACAATAAGCAGGCTGTGGGTACTGACTGGGAACATTCAGCTTAGGATTGAAGGGTCTGGCATGGCTGCGCTCGGCGTGCGAGAGCATCCTTACAGGTAAAACCAAACTGGTAACCGGAGCGATCTCGATATTCTTGGTATACGTGCCGCAAAACTCCATTCCAGGCACCTGACCGTAGCGGAGAAGTTGCAACGGAAGAGTCGAGGCAAGGCGCATAAAAACTCTGGCAGCTCCAAACGCGTTGGGAAAGCACTATGCCATATTTTGTCCGACGAGTACTGTTCAGTGTTAATCAGAGCAGCGGCTGCTAATTCAGCGAGGGTCAGGCAGTCGGGTACAAAAAAAAAAAAAAGACAATGTTCATGTATAGCACTGTGGAAATAACATGAATGAAGGGGATTAAAACAATGAAGAACCGAACAAATCATAGTCTGGAAGGATGGCAGTGCAATCGTACAATGTTGGCAAATTCTGTTGTAGAAACTGTGTGGAACTTGTTAAGGAATCAAAATAGGCTGCTGCACAGATAGAACACGCCTTTTCACTCCAGTTCTCATAGCAGTCGAAACAAGGCGATCCCATATCGCAAGCATTTCACTGTCTGACTGGCGTTGATATTTCGGAAATTGGATTGGAAAGTTGGGATTCAACGGCAAGCAGCTGGATCATTACGCTTCGCCGATGATATTGCTTCTATTGCGAACGACCATTGCAAGAAGAGATGTTTGTGGGAGCCCACAGCATGAAAGAACTGAACCAGTTAACTTATCAAAGACGACGGTGATGTACAATGCCGATATACTCGCAGCAGCATTGTAGATAAACGATGTTGGCTTGGAGAAAGTTGATATTTGCGTCCGTCTAAAACAAGATTTAAATATGCTTTTCAGTCTTCAGCCAGAGTTTGTATGCAGAAAAGCCGCTGATTGGCAACTATTACATAGCGTTATTGACGTCCCCCAGACGCGAACCAGTGAGAGCGTAATAATCTTTTCAATACTACCGCACTGAAGTAAATAATATACGGGCAGTCACAGGCAAAAGTTGAGCGAACATTCAAGCAGATGTTGTGGTAGTGGGGTGGGCTTTATATGCGGGTCCCGGGCGCTGGGATTGAGGGTAGGGGGAGAGGTCTGATGGGGTGAATTAAGTGGTAAAGCGGCGTGGCCATGTAAAGGAGAGGGGGAGGGGGGTGGGTGATGGGCGAAAAGGAGGAGGAACCGTGCCGCGGATTTGCCGCGGATGGGAGGGGTACGTTGCAGAGGGCACAGGAA